TGAATTTATTAAAATTTATAAGTATAAAATATATTTAATATAAATATTTAAAAAAATAATAATAAAATTGAATAATGCGATTTAACTTATTGATTCAGTACTTTAGCCGGTTTGATAACCGGTTCGATTTTTAAATCTATGGACACGTACTTCGTAAGCGGGAAAATCTCACTGCGCAACAACTCCCCTAAAAGAAGTGGAGGGAACTCATCAGTCATTTCATTACTCTCTCGTCACTCCACGCTCTCCACTCTCTCCCTCTCCCAATTCCGATGAACAAAAACGGCTCCCGGAAGCGCGCGCCGCCGCCGTCGCAACGCCCACCGGCGAAGCTTCCCTCGATGACTCAGGAAGAAGAGTTCATGGACGAAGACGTGTTCCTGGACGAAACCCTCCTTTCCGCCGACGAAGAGTCCCTCATTCTCCGCGACATCGAGCAGCGCCAGGCCCTCGCCACGCGCCTCTCCAAGTGGACGCGTCCTCCTCTCGACGCCGACTACGTCGCCCAATCTCGCAGCGTCGGTGAGTTCATATTTTCCGTTAATTGTTTCGCCTTTCCTCTGGTGCTAGGGTTTTGTTTTCGCCTTCTTATTAGTGGAATTTGATTGGTTTGTGTTTTTCGTGTTTTCTGCTCCTCTTTGTGGCCTTTAGTTTTCCCGCAGCTGGAGATTGATTACGTGATCGGAGAGAGTCACAAGGAGTTGCTGCCGAACTCGTCTGGACCTGCTGCCGTTATCAGAATATTTGGAGTTACTAAGGAAGGTTTGCTCCTGTTTCTGTCTTCTTTCATGCTGCAAAATTTGGTTGCTTATACAATTGGAGATAATAAGCATTGCTGGGTTGTCGCTTTTTAGTGTTACATGAGGTTCTAGGGAAGAAGGTGATAGGTACAGATAGTTTAGAGCCTTAGTTAGATAATTGTTAGATTCAGTTAGTTTGTTAGGGCGGCTGGATAAAAAGAAATAAGGCATATTGCCTATAAATCGGAGAAAAGTTTGAGTGATTGGGGTACTGCGGCAACCGGAACGGGTGACCAATATTTTATTTTAAGGAAAAAATATTAGAAAATTCTTTAAAAAATAGTTTTTAAAACTAAAATTAGGTTGAAAAGTTAATCACGTATAAGTAAGGAATTAGTACCCTACGATGTCTGTAAATATACAGTACCTTTAATTAATTACATAAAATTTTATAACTTTATAAATATTTAATTTATCCCTAAAAATATATTTTGTTATTCTTTTTTATATAACCTTTATAGATGAAGGGAATTTTTTTTTTGTATTTTATTAAAACTTACATAATAATTTAAGCTAATAAATAAATAATCGCTAAACTATCAAAATAACGTTAAAGATAGAATTAGCGTTATTAATTTCTTGAAATACTTTATTTTACCAAAAGAAAAAAAATATTTTAATACAAGAATTTAAGCTAATAAATGACTAGCATTAAATCCTGTCATTTGAATAACATTAAAGATATAATTGTTACTCACTTAATGTTATTAATAAATATTTTTATTTTCATAAAATGATAATTTTTATTTTATCTTATATATAAAAGCTTATGATAGCAAATGACTATTCTATAAATTTTTATAATTTACATGATATTAAAAGTAGAAGTATTACTCAATTAATATCATTAACCATTAAAAGTAACTTATATGTGCAAGAAGATTGTTTTTATTTTTATTTTATCTAAAGAAAAAAGATTTTATATAAAGATTCAAGTTAGTAAATGACTAATCAATAAATTCTTATGAAATTTTTTTTTCCATTAATGTTATGAATAATTGCTTTTTATTTTTATAAAATGATAATTGTTATTTTATAAGCTTCTATGATTTCATGATATTAAAGATAGAAGTGTCATTCAATTAATATCATTAACCAATAAAACAACTTATATGTAAAAAAAATTTATTTATATCGATATATTTTATTTAAAGAAATAAATTTTGTATAAGGATTCAAATTAGCTAATGACTAGTTATTATCTTACAATTAAATAACGTCAAGGATAAAAATGTTATTCAATTGATGTTAGAGCATCTTCAATGGGGTTGCTTATAAGCAACCCCATTACAGATGCTCTTATTAGCTATTACATATTAAAATAAATTTTAATGAAAAGAAAAAAAATGAGTTAAGTAAAGAATATGATACTAAATGTGAGGTGAATAAATTGTTGAACTTGCTATCACGCGAAACCTTTCTCTTAATCTCTAACTTTATTGTCGATATCTTTTTCTCTCTTTGTCTTTGCTTTCTTTTTTGTCAGTATTTCTCCTCTCTTCGTTCCCTCTAATATCCGTATATGCTATTTTATAAGAGTGTTTTTTTAAACCATCTCTCTCCACTATCTTCACTTCCTTCATTTTTGCTAACTATCTCTAATTTTCAGCTAGTAACCACCTTCCCTCTTATCTTCTTTTATTTTTTATTTATTTATTTATGCTTTATTTGTTAGTTTTTTATTTATTTATTTATGCTTTATTTGTTAGTTTTTTATTTATTTATTTATGCTTTATTTGTTAGTTGTAACTGCTTCCTTACTTGAAGACCAAGTTTTTACCCTTCCTTTCATAAATTTAAATTCTATTTTTATTTAAAAATTAAACCTTTCTTATTTAAAATTTCTTATTCATAATTGCCCTTCTTTACTTATTTTTATTAAATAATCTGAATGATAATATTTTTAGATCATTGTAATAAAAATGAGTAAAGAAGTGAATAAATTTTATTTGAGAAAATATGTTATATGACTCTTATATTGAACGCTATTGTTGGATCAAATTGATACTTGTATTAGATCGACTAAATGCTTTTGCTGGGTTGACCGAATGCTTTTGTCAGATCGATCAAATACTGGTGTTCTGATGATTGAACTTGGGCAACTAAATATTGATACTAGATCAATCGAATGCTTGTGCTGGATCGATCGAATGCTTATGTTGGGTCGATTAAATGTTGGCGCTGAGTGCTAGTACTGGATTAACCAAGTGCTAGTGTTGGATTGGTCAAAATGCTAGTGTTGGAATGATTGAACGCTAGTGCCGGATTAGCTAAATACTAGTGTCAAATAGATTGCATGCTAGTGATTGTTCAATTGAATGTTGATGTCGGTTTGACCAAATGCTGATGTTAGATCGACTAGATGTTGCTGAAATGACTAGATGATGGTGCTAGTTAGGCATGGCAATCTAACCCGCCCCCGTGGGTACCCGCCCGAACCCGCCCCGATTTGGATGGGGAAAACCCGTGTTTATCGGGTTCGGGTTCGGGTTTTCCCCGATTGATAAAA